GAAAAAAATCTTATAATATCTGCCCCTTACTTCAAAAAATAATTAATCATTTTTATGATCAGTTTAGGATATTAAAATCTGTAAAATCAATGGGAGTTCAATCTGCCAAACAGATCTGATAAAACTAGTAAAAATAAAGACAAGCTTTGTCTTTCCTGAGGAAAGTGTTTGCAACTCTGAAGTGGATTTTCCAGGTGACTCAGCAAATATCACGTGACCCACAAATTCATGACATTAATTACTAATGGACTCGCTTGGTGCGGTTTCATTTTTGTTTACAAATTCTCTCTGCTCTTCATCTCTTCCACTCCTCCTCCTCCCTCCCTCTTTCTCCTGCTGTTGACCTGAGGCAGAACAATGAAATGTTTTTCTCATTTCTGTTTCACGCAATGAGCCGCATGATGACAACAAACCACAAGTCTCTATTCCTGCGTTGTTTTTTCTTTACTTTGTTATGATGTTTAGTTTTCTTTTAGTGCTATTTTGCTCTTTGCCGATCACTCAGCAACTTTGTTTTTCATGTTCTTGTCAGTTTGTATTTAAAGGAAAATATAAATGAATGAAAACTCACTGAGTACATAAAATCTGATTATTTGTCTCTAAAAGTTACTTCCCTTTAAAAGAGTTTTTATATTTTCCCAGCAGTTATCAGTATTTATGTAGTAAATTTGTACAAATCACGTTGTTTGTTTTGTATAGAGTAATACAATACTGGATTCTGCAGAGTTTGTCTCTTTAAAACTTGCCTCATCATCTTCTCACTTGACACACTCGTACTGTATTTTCTYCTTTCTGCATGTTTTCGTCTTTCATCTCGTCTCATCCCATCTCAGCGGGGCGCACCCCCGCTCTGAGGGGATGTTTCTTTCTCTCGCATGCCTTTGATCATGCCTCAGCATGGCAGCACCATCTTCAGGCCTGCACAGATAGGTGTGTGGAGGCAGAGCCCACCCTCTTTTCATTTTCTTCAGTTATTTTCGGAGCTCTTTGGATATTTTTAGCTCTGCGTTGCCATGTGGGCTCGTTGTCCCAGAGACCGAGGAGAGGGGTGTTCCCGTGCTGGGCTGGCATCAGATTTTCTTTGTGTGTCAAAATTCAAAGCACTGAAATGATAAAAGAGAAAGAAAAGGCATATTGTCAGTTTTTCTTATAGGTGAATATAAAAAAAAAACAGCTCAACGCTACGATTTGCTGCACTTAAAAAACAAACATCAGTGTCTCATTTTAAGAAAAACTAATCAGAAACCACAAAGTTCATTGTTGTATTTTCCCACTTCGAATTATGACAGAATAATAAGGCATTCTCAGCTCTATGTGTGCTATAACTCCGTAATATTTACTTTTTTTGTAAGGATTAGTTGATTTACAGCCTCAGAGGATGGACATAAACTAAAAAATGTTCTTTATAAACATGTATGAACAGCAAAATGCATCAATGTCCTGCTAAATTTAACAAAAATAAAACCATATTTTTATAAAAAAGTTTATTTTAATGTGACTGTAATATATTCCAACTATGAATTTTAGCTAGTCTATATGCTCCTTTGTAATATATTCCAACTATGAATTTTAGCTAGTCTATATGCTCCTTTTTTATTTTGTAGCTGAATGCTTTTTGTTTGTTTGATTTGTTATTTTTTTATTTTTTATCTGAATGCTTTTTGTTTGTTTGATTTGTTATTTTGAAGGATATTTTGATTTGTATGGTTTTATAAAATGATTGATGTTTCTTCTGTCAAAGATGAATTACTCGAATTAACGATTAACTTGTTCAGCGGTCAGATGTGCTTTTATTGTATTCATAAAACAAAATTCGAACCTTAATTTTTTTTTCTTTTTTAATTTGATAGTAATTAATTGATAATTGTGTTTTATTGTTATTGTTTTCACATCTAACTTTTTTTTCTTTAAGGGAATGAACATCATCTTCAATGTGGCTCTGGCCCTGCTCAAGGTCAGTGAAAAAAATCGTCCAATCGTTTTACTGCAACTCTTTCTTTGAGCTACGAAATGACATCTCTGGTGAAGGAAAATTATTCTGCACTCAAATTCACATTTGATGTAAAGTATTGCAGTAAAAGCTGGTAATTGATTGAGAATATTTTATCTTAAAAGGAAGGAAAGTAAGTTTTTTTTTTGGAAACACAAGTTTCCTAACTTGGTGTGAAATGCACTTCAAAGATCTCGTTTTTGTTGTATTGTCTTGCATTTGTCGCCCCCCAGTGGTTAAACAAGAAACTGCATTTTAAAAATAAATTAAAATTATCTTTTTTAATAAAGAAATGTTTGTTTGGATTTTAGTTTCCAATCAATAATCCAAAAATAATTTCACACAAATAAGAAGWGTAACATTTGTCCACCAAATAGTTGTTTGCTTTTTTAGATAAACAAACCAATATTAGTATTTTCTTATTTATAATTTATACATTTATATGTAATTTGTAGTATTTTCTAGCATTAATTTATTGTATGTTATGGAAAAAGATGAGCTGTTTAGGATGTAATGGTGGGAAATGGGAGCACGTGAGGAGGAGAAGGGGTGTGGAGGGGGGCTTCCACCGCCTGATTTCAATTGGCCAGGCATGACGACATTTTCCTCCACTGCTCCCTCCCCACCTCCTCCCTCCATCCTGCTGTCCTCTTTGCTCCCATCACCCCTCCCTCCCCGTCCTGCTTAGCAGTTGCTATCCACATCACAACAAGAGCATCTGCTGTAATGTTAGCGTTCTGAACCTGAAGGAGACAAGCATTTTATCTTTTTTTTATTTTTATCTTTACCTCCTGTGAAAGCCTGTTTGTAGCATCTTCTTTCCCACACTTATTTATTTATTTTTTGCCTCTTCACTTTCTTTTGYTTCTGTGTTTCTGCCTTTACCTTTCCTCTCGTGGCTGGTTTTTTTTTTCCCACATGCCGCCTCTTCCCACCACCCCAGACCTCCGCAACGGAGACGCCCCTGCCAGCTGTTAGCCATTAGCTGTTAGCATCACAAAGATCGAGGGAGGAAGTGAGACGTGGTTCGTGGGAAACGTTGAGGTTGCTGTGCCTCGCCCCGGCTGCTGGCCAGAACCAACGGTCCTGACGGTGTCACATCAACTCCTGCAAACACTCCTTTTCAGAGGARGAAGTGACTTCTCATCTAAAAGATCCAGTTATTGATACAGACCTGGCTGCTCGTGGTAACAGGATTCTGCTGGAGGGGAAGGTCCTGGAGTTCATTCTGGATCAGCTGATCCTGGGCTTTTCCTGCTGAATGCTTGGATCTGAATAAAATTCATATCTGAGGATTAAATCGGTGAAGAGGATGAGCGTATCGCAGCGATAGAAAAACATTTCCGGCACTTTTTTTTTCTTGTTTATTTTGTCGCTGCTYGTCTTCGTGCCTGCCTGGTTGGTGTGTGACTCAGTTCAACATCCGCTCATCCATGAAGTGACTTCGCTCATCATCTCCTGAAAGCACATGATTCTGTGAACAAGCCACGTGTCGTCTGCCATGTTCCCAGGACCGTCTGCACCAGCTTTAAAGAGCAGATAAAAGCCGTGATTTTAATCCAGGCTGTTTTACRTTTCAAAGAAAGCTGACGTCCTGTCAGGGGAGGCCTCACATGTTTGGGGAGAAAAGGTACAAAGTGTATCGACTGCTTTGATGTGAGATCTGGCTCTCTGAACCCAAAGCGACCGAGGAGGAGGGGGGGTTTCTCAACATCTTTGAAGTCTTTATAATTCAAGAAAAATTMAATTAAATTTAAGAAAAGGTGGAGAGCGTTGCCGTCGCTGCAGTTGGATCAGMTGCCCACGTGTTGAGCAGATTTGTTGCTAGGCAACAGCATACTGGATTGGAATTGKTTGGAGTTTGCCAAAGCGAGATTGGAGCGGGCCGTGTGACTGGGTTTCAGAGCGAGTCTTGTCGGCAGCTGGAGGACTCGGCATTATGCCGAAAAGGGTGTCAAYTCCTCCTCTTCTGAGTGCGGTTCTGAAGCACCTGGGCCCGGGTTCTGGACTCTGACAGCGGTACCAGCTGAGCGGTCGCCACCAAAGTCTGGTCCGCTTGTCGAAGCTCTGGGAAATTTGTAAATCTATAAACTTGTCCTCGCCACTTTCCCAGCACACGTTCCCCRGGCGGACCGCTTCTCCAACGACCGGACCGACCCCGCCGCCCTGGATTCACCGGCCACCCTGGCCCCGGAGCGGGACCGCCCCCCTCCCCCGTCCTGTCCCACCCCACCGCCTTCACCACCACGCTCTCCGCCACCTTCCCCTCCCCCCGTGCCGGGCCCAAACCCCCGCCTGACCCTCCCAGCCGCTCGGAGGGCGCTGGAGGTTGGAGAGGGGAAGGAGGAGGAGGAGAGCGCTCCCGGCGGTCCGGCCTCAGCGGACTCTTTCTGCAGGGTCATGGACCTCCTCGGGATGGGACACAGACTCTTTGTCCCCAAACTGCTGGCGGTGAGGAAAACTGGACAGAGATCCATATTTGCTAAATCAGATAAGCTGGGCGTGCAGTGATGGAGTGTTTTAGAGGTGTTCTGGTTTGACTGAGGACAGGTGACATGAAACACAATTATCTCTGTAGTGTTCTGATAAAAGCTTCATGTTCTGACTCCTCAGTTAAAGGAACAAACTCAGTAAGAACACTTTGTGAGGAAAAAAAAGTCTCAAACTACAGGAGAGATCCTTGATCTCAGGTCTTGTTCGCGTGTAGTAAGTGAACTCAGTGTTTGTTTTCATGACTTTTCATCTTCACACCACAAGATGGAGGTGTTTGTGTGTTTTAACACATCCTGACTGAACTTCATGCATCCAACCAAATCTAGTTCTATTTTCAGTTTAGTTTTACACTGAGATAAACCTCATACCTATAAGTACAAGTCATTTTCTTTGGTTTCTTTCATAATAATAATAATAATAATAATAATAATAATAGATTTATTTGTATAGCGCCTTTCAAAACCCAGTCACAAAGTGCTTTACATCGTGTAGTAAAATCAAAACACATAAGAACATAGCACGAATAAAAATAAAACATGCAAAAGTCAACAATTAAAAGCCATCTCATAAAAATATGTTTTTAAAAGAGGRCAATAAAGAAGCTTGTCTGATATAAAGTGGCAGTGCATTCCATTAAAGAAGAGCCCTAACAGAAAAGGCTCTATAACCCTCTGTCTGTAGTACATAAACTGTAAGAGGTTGAAAAGTGAAACACAGGACTTTAAACTTAAAGTAAGGAAATATGTGTTTGGTAGAGTATTTCTGTATTGTAACAATGCTTCTTGGCAATAAGTCTTATACTGCTGGAAAGCCTGTTAAATTCCCTTTAAAATGGTGCCAGATTTGTAAGGAACATGCACTTGAGAGCTGAGCAGTAGAGCTGCTGAGTACATGAGCTGCGCACTTGAAATATTAGCCAAATCTTTGCCAAATTGCTTATTTTGTTGTTATTGACACTTGTTTTGAGCTTCTGGTACCTGCAGGTGTTGCTGCGTTGTTACAACAAAGAAATAATCTACCAAACACAGATTTYCTGACTTTTTGTTCTAAGTGTTTATTGGAAGTTAAAGCTGTATGGAAAGGAAAGCCAATAAAATTGATTTAAACCTACAGTCGAACAAACCTTTTACTGTTTCAAGAAAAACTAAATACTATGTGTGGTCATCCCATCAGTTAGATGTGATGAGTGTAAACTAATCAAAATGACTCATTGCTTGAAACAACATTCAACAATAACTCCTTCTATACACCCCCTGTGTTCATCCTCTCTTCCCACCCCTTCATGTCTCCTTCTAGACGTCCAAAGAAGACCTCTTGCAGGCAGACTTTGAGGGGGCTCTCAAGTTCTTCAGAGTCCAGCTCCCTAAACGTTACAGAGCAGCAGAGAACGCACGAAGGCTTATGGAGCAGGCCTGCAACATTAAGGTAGGAAATACTACCAGCACACAACGTTTGACTTTTGAGGATATTGTTAAACTACAGAAAAATAAATTCCTTCCTGATGTTTCCTACAGAGGCACAATRCATCTGACCAGAGGTGTCAGGGGAACACTGCAGCTTTTATTTCTGTCAGCATAACAATCAGTTTTGCATAGCAAGCTGGTTTTATACACCTTGTAATTATTCCACYAATTGTTTGGTTGTTATTCAGCTCATCTTTGTGTTTTTGGTGCCCAGGAGTTGTTTTTGTGTTGCACTTCATAGAAATAAGTTATCRTTGTCTTTAAGGTTGATCTCTGCCRTAGAGATTTTTCATGAAACTGAAACTGGGCATTTAGCAGCAAATTAAAACACTTGATTTAAGGCCTGCTGTCARGCAGACTGTGGAGGAGAAGATCAAACTGTTTATTCACTCTGAGTTGTGCTGTCAGCAGCTACCCTTTCAGCTCTTCTTTATATTTAATCGCTTTTTGTTGCATTTCCTCAGCTCTCTGTTCTTTTTGTGCACATTTTGTCTGGTTGTTCTAAACCTCAGTCTGAAAATAGATAAAACACGGCCTCCACGGATGACAGTCATAGTTTCTCTCCGAACTTGTGAACTTAATGAAAATGCTTTCGGGCCTTTCACACATTTTATCATCGTCCTTCTGCTGAGCTGCAGGAGGCTGCTGGCATTTAGGGAATTTGCTTAAGTCACCAGAGACCAAAGTGGCACACAATGTTCTTGGTGTGTGTGTGTGTGTGTGTGTGTTTGTGTGTGTGTGTGTGTGTGTGTGTGTGTGTGTGTGTGTGTGTGTGTGTGTGTGTGTGT